CACAAAGAAGAGGAGTCAAACTATTCTCCAAAGCACGTGAAGGCAAGACAAGAAGCAATGGATGGAAACTAACCAAAGAGAGAAGCAACCTAGAACTAAGGAGAAATTTTCTGACAGTTAGAACAATTAATCAGTGGAACAACCTGCCTCCAGAAGCTGTGAATTCTCCAACACTGGAAGTTTTTAAGAAGAGACTGGACAGCCATTTTCTGAAATGGTATAGGGTTTCCTGGCTGAGCAGGCGGTTGGACTAGATGACCTCCAAGGTCCCTTCCAACTTTATTATTATTACTATTACTATTATTTCTATTATTATTACTATTATTATTACTATTATTATTACTATTATTATTACTATTACTACTACTACTACTACTACTACTACGATGATGATGATGAAACATTGCTACTCTGAGACAGCACTTAGAGAATGATCCCCAGAACTCAACTTTCTTGTGATCCTTGGAAAACTATTTCATTATATATTGAATTTCCTTTTTTAAAAAAATCTGTATTAAATGCCAATAATTTAATTTAATGTCTCAAGTAAGAGCATCTCTGAGAGCTTTCCTTTCCCTTTCCTTTCCTTCTCGAAAAAGCACCTTTGGGACTTTCTTTCCTTTCTCTTCATAAAGGAAAGCTAAAACAAAACTATTTTATTTAAATACTCATTCAACATGGGTATTCCTTTGAGATAATAAATGGAAATAGAAAGGCCTAGTGATGGTCACTCCTGCTCCTCTTGCCTTGTGGCTGGACTGCTGCAATTAGCTCTGGCTAGGGTTGACTCTGAAGATGATTGAAGCTATAATCCATGCAAAATGCAATGGCCTGTCTGGTCAAAGGAACAACCCTTACAGACAAATCACACCTGTTTTGCAGGAGTTGTGATCATTGCTAGTTTGCTGCATGTGCAATTCAAGATGCTGTTTAGTATCTGTAAGGCCCTCTATCACTTGGGATCTGGGTATCTTAGAGACATATGCCTGCCCTACTCTACCCAACCTAACCGAATAGAATGGCATGGTGCCAGTTCCTGCTTACTGGAAAATTAAGGGAGGTGGGGAAACTGGAAGCAATCTTTCTCTTGAACAACTTACAACTCTCCCTCTGCAATGCAAATATCTTCTTCCCTGGTGATTCCAGAATCTGAAAATTCTATTTTTTACACAGATCCTCTAGGGAGTGAAGATTGGGGCCTAATGATGGCATTTTCCCCAGTAATTAAGAGAAGGGTGTTAATATTGTGAGCACAAAGCTCTTATGGACACTTTATTCATTCAACTCCTCAGTCTGTTCCGACAATTTGGGTTCTTGAATATTTTTTATCACTTTGGGTCTTAAAGCTGAAAGACATAGAAGCCTACTGCTAATAATTAAAGAAAAGATCAGCATCAGGTTGTAGTAATGCAGGATTGGGAACCAGTGATCTTGGGCTTTTGTCTCAAGGCAGTTTTAACTCCAAATTCTGGAACTAAAATTTACCCTTTTAAAAAATTGCTAAGGTTGAGGAAGACTGCATTAGCTTGATCAGATTTGGATGGCTGGGAGGATTTAGCAGTCAGTTTTAGAGAACTAAACAAGATGGCTGGACTCTTCATTTGAGAATACAAAATGCAAAATGCAACTGCCCCCCCAAAAAAAAGATCTGGAAAAATTCTTTTTTCTTTATGACATTTAAAGGCATCAGCTTTATACATGCAGCGATGACAGAGCAATTATCTGATGTGGCAAAAAAATGAGAGCAGGCAGGATAACTGGGAACACAAAGGTGGAATTATTTTGCCATGCGGTAATTATTGAGTGATGTTTAATTATTGGGACTTAGCCTATGCTTGGAAACAGGAACAATTTATTACTTTTGGTAAATGTAATTTTCTTTTGAAGAACAAAAGGAAATGATATAACCATTTTGTCACAGAGGGCCAGAAAATGAGTGGAGAAACTCACAATAATTTTGCCCAATAATAGAGATGGGTTCAAAAAAGAAACTATACAGTTGGCTAGCAATTCTTGGAAAACATGGGACTTATCTCAAACCTACCTGCAAAAAAGGTATCTCACTTCCAGAAAGTCCTCCCCGCCCCCAGAAGATACATTTATTTTATTCATTTATTAAACAAATTTACATACTCACCCAATTCACACACAGTGATGCATGCTTTGCTAAATTATAGACTAAAACCATTCAGTGCCCCAAGCTAGTTCTATAGTATCTTTCACAAATACAATAGATGGAAGAAGATGCATTTTTGCAAAATGGGAACATGACATGGCAATGTCTTTCAGTCGATCAGCGTTATTTATTGAGCTCAACTGAGATGAAGAAACAATTAGCAGATATTTTCTCTCGGCCATATATAGAAAAGTTCCTGATGGAAGGATATGAAAAACTAGCAGGTTGATATTAAAGTGCACAAGAAATTATTAGTAAATGGAAAGCTTGCTGGCATGCATCTCTGTTGCAGGAAGGAAGGGAGGGAAAAAGGAAGGAAGGAGGAAGAATCCTAAGCAAGTCCTTACATTGGACAACAAAAAGAACAACCTAAAATCCACCCAGATGGAAATCCCATAAACGAAAGAATTCTGAATAAATGTGGAGCAACTGGCCTACAAGAATCTTATTTTTTCTTAATCAACAGACGATAATAGTTGGGCAACATGATTATTCTCCAGCAGATTGAAAGTAATTCTAACACTTTACAGAAACATAATTTTGAAAACTTTTCCCATTGCCAAAAAGGGGTGGGGCTTTGTTTGTATGGTTGCAGAGCATTTTGACTTTTTGATACTACCCCATAGATGCCCATGGGAGACAGCCTAAAATAGAAATAAAAAAGATCATTCATGTGAAGCCAACAGAAGTTTCTAATGTTGCCCAGGTTGGCAATTTCTGGATTATAGTAAGAAGTTCATAATAATGAAATCAATAATGTCTTATTCCAGTTTAATCATGGAAGAGCAATTTAGGACAAGTACAATAGAATGGCATGTGTTACAAATGAATTTGTAAAAAGAGGTTTTAAAATGGATTTGCTTATCCAACATCAATTAGATTACCTTCAAATCTTCTCTATTTTTTAATTCCCACTTTAACAGCCATTAGTGAACGTATGCAAACTTTGTCTTTTCTTCCCCTCCTGATTCATATATTTGTATTTTTTTGAGGTTAACATTTTGTAAGATGCTTCTATTTCTGGTAGTCATTAAAGTCACTATTTCACTTCCATGCATTTAATCCACTTTATCAGTTATCTTGAGCTATTTACTTGATATGGGCTCCCTGGTTCTACTTTGAACACCATTTAAAAATTATTGTTGACAGAATTACTATTTCTTCCCTTTCAACTGAAAACTCTGTAGAGATTTTCAAATTGCAGCCTGTAGCAAAATTGCAACTGATTCAACCCAATTAGATGGTGTCAGATATCAAATCTGTTAGTTGTTTTATCAGCTGAAGGGGAGAGCCTTCCTATTATCACAACTAATTTCTATTGATTGCACAACAACTAACTGGAGATAGTTCAGGAGAGAACAAATCTATAAACCTGAGCTTGAAGTGAAAGACAAAGTGCTTGCAAGTGAGATTAAACAGTTTTGTTGTTCTGTACAGCTGCTCTTTCTCAATCCAGATAAACAGGGATGCTGTCAGTGGATGCATTTGGAGGTTGTGTGATTACTGTCTTTTTCAAAGACAAAGAGTCTTGCAAGAGTTACCTATGCTCATGCATGCTGGCTTCACTTTTCTCATAGAGCTATGAAACTACAGAAGATACATGTTTTAAGATAAATAATAACAGCTTTTGGTTTTTGGTCAGTCATCAGTGAGTAGGTAATAAGAGAAATGTTCTAAGTATTAGCAAATATAAGAAGACAGGAGACAATGATCCTTCTTTATTTTTCACAATCAGACATGTCTTAGGTGCTCATAAGCAGGAGATAAAAACATCATTTCCCCACCACTGTTTTCCCACAACTGATATTTTGAAATATGCTACCCCCAACCTGGAATCTACAACTGATAGCCCTCAATACACCTTCCTCTAGGAATTGATTCAAATTTCTTTTAAATATCTCCAAATTGGTGGCTATCACACTGTTTTGTGTGAATAAACTTCACAGGTTATTTAAGTGATGCATGATTATGCTCCTTCTTTTGCCACATAATAGAAAAATGTTCAAAAGTAGAGATGGCTGGCCTACCATAAGGCAAGAACAAATCATGTCATATCAATAAATAATGATTTAATGATTAAAGATCTCCCTTCATTTCAGAAACCCAGACGAGAAAGTGGTTCTAGAGTAGCTTCAGATATGTCAAATAGACAAACATGCTGAAAGGGAATCCTGCTTTAAGGCTTTATAAGTATACAAGAATGTTCCCATTTTTTATATGACAAGGAGTCTTTGAACTGATTCTATAAGACCATAACTGAACAACTGTTCAGAAGCATAAAACCCACATATAGTTAACTGCACCAGGGATATTTTTTTTCCTTTGCATCAAGCAAGTCATAATTTGCCATTATTTGAAGACTGGATGAGAATGCATCAAAAGAACCATGACAAGATTACACTGTACAATATAAACATTCTGCAACTGAAACTCTTTAAAAAAGAATTGGGCTTATGGAAATATTCTGGGAAATAATCCTGCTTAGATGCTTTTCTTGTTTCTTTTATTTGTGACAGAGACAGACCTGAAGCCTTTTTTTCCACATTATCTGCCTGCCCATAATGTATCAACCTCCAATTCAGCTTTTCAAATAAATGTCATATACATGAAGTTTATTCTCCTTATTCGAATACAGACTGGATGCTTAGAAGCGATCATTTCATTTTTACTTTAACCTCTAAATTTGGTCAGAAGAAGACTTTCATAATCAATATACTGTAACCCACCATTGAAGAAGGACTTTAAATATCTCCTCATTTCATCACTGATAAGTTCAGCTCTGCCACAAGCTAGTGGAATATTAAATATATATTTGTTCTCTTACTGTATCGCTTTGGTCCATCTTCCAAACAAAAGGAAAGTGTTAAGGTTGCATCATTTTCAAAAAACTCTGTTGCAAAGGCATCCCACCACAGGTTGTCACTGTCCTGAGAGAGAGAAAAATGTTTTTTTAACAGGAAAGGTATACTTACTATTTTAAAAACAATATATTTTCCTATCTAAATAATATCAAGATGGAAATTATTAAGTATCAGTAATCTACAGTTAGATTTACAGCCTAAGACTGGTAGAAATTTAATAATTAAGGCTCTAACCAAGGACCTAAGAATTATTACAGTACGATCTAAGAACATAGGCAATTTCAAGCAGGGTGGAATTTTGGTAAAAGAAGGGTGTCCAGGTGTGATAAATTCAATATCCCCAAATATAGAAGAATTCCTTTAAGTATTCTCCGAGGGCTCCAGGCATGATTAATATAACAATTGATTTCATTTTCCATAAGCATTCAACTTTGTTCTGTACATCCCAATATTCCACCTGCAATTCCCAGTATTTCATAATTTATTATTATTCTTTTAAAATATTGCTAATATTGCTAATAATGAGAGGCCTCTGCATTGGGAGGGGGTGTTAAAGACATTGGATGGGACTGTGCAATCAAAGTCCTGCCCCTCTTAGGGTATCTCATGCATAAACAAGGAATAAAACCTGGACCATACAATTTAGGGGCACCTCTTGATTTTTATGACCCCATACATCCAGGATCCTTTATTAATAATGAAAAATGCTGTGCATCTTGCTTATAATCTAATTTGCTAACATATCAAGCAAATATTTTTAAAGAATAGTTTTATGTTAAATGGCCACATGATAGCATAAATGTAGGTATGCAGTAGATTCCATCTCCAGTTTATTTCTTGTGCTTTGCCTTGTCAGGCAATTGAGCAAGATGGCCCGTTGCCTGGAGGCCGTACGGGTCTGGATGGGGAGGAACAGACTCAGGCTCAACCCTTCCAAGACCGAGTGGCTGTGGTTGCCAGCGCCTCGGCATAGTCAGCTGACACCATCGCTGACTATAGGGGGCGAAACTTTGGCCCCCTCGGAGAGGGCGCGCAACTTGGGAGTCCTCCTGGATTCGCGGCTGGCA